TAAATGAAGGTTTTCCCACACTGTTTGCATTCGTAGGGTTTCTCTCCGGTGTGAATCCTCTCATGTCTTCGAAAGGACTGGAGGTAAATGAAGGTTTTCCCACACTGTTTGCATTCGTAGGGTTTCTCTCCAGTGTGTGTTATCATGTGTCTTCGAAAAGTCGAAGAATAACTGAAGGCTTCCCCACATTCTTTACATTTATGCGGCTTCTCTCCAGTGTGTGAAATCATATGTCTTCGAAAAGTTGAGGAATAACTAAAGGCTTCCCCACATTCCTGACATTTATATGGCTTCTCGCCAGTATGTGTTATTGTGTGTCTTCGAAACGTTGAGGAATAACTGAAAGCTTTCCCACATTCCTTACACTTATACGGCTTCTCTCCGGTGTGACTTCTGAGATGACTAGTAAGACTTGAGAAGTCAATGAAGGCTTTCCCACATTGTTTACATTCGTAGGTTTTCTCAGCAGTGTGAATCCTTACGTGCCGATTGAGGGAGGAAGTACGAGGAAAGGTTTTCCCACATAATTTACACACATAGGGTCTCTCTCCATTGTGGGTTCTCACATGCATTCTTAGGTGTGAACGACAACTGTAGGCCTGTCCACATTCCTGGCACTGATATAGTTTGTGTCCAGTGTGAACTGTGATGGGACTCTTGAGGGATGTGCGGTGAGGCATGAAGACTTTTCCGTACGTGTTGTATTCACACTGTTTCACTCCAGCTGGAATTTTCTTGTACAGATTAAGATGTGGAATCTGGCTGAAGGCTTCTCCACATTGATCGTTACTTTCACAGACTCTCTCCGACACATGATTTCTACTAAAAATGAGAAGCATGTTATTGGTTTAATAATGATTTGTTAGTATTTATTAGGAAGTATTGCATTTTAACCATTTTCACTGAAAGCATAGGTTTTTCACCCTATGTGAATTGTCTGAAAATGAAATAAACTGAATGCCCTGGAAGATGGTCTGACCACTGCCATTATTAAAACGGTGTTTCTTATGTATAGGGTTTCTTTTCTTTTCTTTTCTTGAGACAGAGTCGCACTCTGTTACCCAGGCTGGAGTGCAGTGGCACAGTCTCAACTCACTGCAACCTCTGCCTCCTGGGTTCATGCAATTCTGCCTCAGCCTCCCAAGCAGCTGGGATTACAGGCCTGCAGCACCATGCCCTGCTAATTTTTGTATTTTTAGTAGAGACAGGGTTTCACCACATTCGCCAGGCTGGTCTCAAACTCCTGGCCTCAAGTGATCTGCCCACCTCAGTCTCCCAAAGTGCTAGGATTATAGGCGTGAGCCACCATGCCTGGCCCAGGGTTTCTTGATAATGGTTTCCATCTGAATTATGTTTCTAATGTCACTTGCTGTCTATGTCACATCTAAAGAAATATTTTTTGTAAAAATTCTGTGGATTAAACAAATTTGGAGCTAGGCTTACATGAGTTTTCTGTTGACTTGCTTTTTTAAAGTTTAATGACAGACTAAGATTCTCTCCTGAAATACTGTGTTCCCTTGTGAGTGCAACTCACCTGAGATTTCTCCCCTGCTTTGTGGGCTGATCTTCAATGCTAAGACTGTCCCAAATTTTTCCTAAAACAGAGGCCCAGGAAACATTTCTGGTGAACGCAGCTATTTTAGATTCCTTGGGTATTTTTTCTCCATAAATATCCTGCTGAGAAACTGACCCACTGGCCTTAAATTGAGTTTCATCATCTGAAATCAAAAAGTCAACAAATCATAAGAAGGCACTTGTTAGCTGAAAATGACACAGGAGTTTAGGTATCTCAGGACTTCATCAAACACAAAATGGTCAAAATGGTAAGCAGCTCAATAAACATAGTATTGGTAAGCATAGAAAAATTATTTAAAAAAAATAATCACAGCCAGATGCGGTGGTTCACACCTGTAATCCCAGCACTTTGGGAGGCCAAGGCAGGCAGATCACGAGGTCAGGAGTTCAAGATCAGCCTGGCTGACATAGTGAAACCCCGTCACTACTAAAAATACAAAAATTGGCTGGGCATGGTGGCGCTCGCCTGTAATCCCAGCTACTTGGGTGGCTGAGGCAGATAACTGCTTGAACCCGGGAGGCAGAGGTTGCAGTGAGTCGAGATTGCACCACTGCACTCCAGCCTGGGCGATAGAGCGAGACTCCATCTCAAAAACAACAAACAAAAAAATCAAATTTTCACTGGCTTGCAAAAACAAACTTCACTAGGCCTCTCAAAGCTATATCCATAACGACGACATGAAGGGAGCTTTCCTTACAAAAAGAAAAAGTTGAAATACCAATTCTCATTCTCATGGAAAACCATTACATTCTAGCTCTATGACAGCTGTGACTATGTCTTATTTACCAATGTATTCCCTTTCCACATTCTAAGCCTTGGAACAGGTCTGATGTGTAAGAAATACTTGTTCTCTAAGTAACTACGTGAAGGAAGGAATGATGTCATCCTTACCTACTGAGGCCAGGTTCTGAAAGGTCTCCAGCATCACATCTCTGTACAGGTTCCTCTGAGCAGAATCCAGCAAAGCCCACTCCTCCAGGGTGAAGTCCACAGCCACATCCTCAAAGACCACTGAGTCCTAAAACATTCAACATATTTATGAGACCGAGAGCCCAGGAGCACTGTACTTATATCGTATGCAGTTCAAAAAAGATTCTGTGGTCCCCGACATCTACCCTGTGACTCAGTTGTCACCCCTCTTCCTTCTGTCTACTCTACACTCACTTCCTCATAGATTTCACAGGACCATTAACACACTGAATTTCTCTCTATACTTTTACTGTGACCAACTGAAGACATTACTCTCTATCAAAAGCATTCAGACCACATTGGAGGTATCAAACAAATGCTATATAAATGAAACAAATACTTGTATTTTAAGACCATCAGTCCCTTGTCACACAAACCGTTTCAGCTCCTCCCCTGCTGCACACATCATTCTGCACCACACAAAGCACAGGGTCAAAACTGAATGAAGTTTTACGGGATAAAAACACTGACGGACTGGGAACATTCTCTTCTGCTTCCTTCACCAAACATCAGGCCAAGGGGCCTAAGAGGACCCAAGTGGCAACAAAGGCCAGGTAGCCATAGCGTCTTAAAGAATGCCAGGTCCAGCTGGCTGAAGGAAAACATTCTTTTGAGAAGTATTAATTTTAACTTGGAAACTAGAAGTTACTGAGAAATTAGACCTTAGGAAAGACGAAAAAGACATGAGAACGAGGACCTCCACACATTCCCTATACTTGGAGCCTCAGTGATGGAAGCCCAACAATT